CCCACCGGTCCCCGCCCCTTTCTCCCCTTGCGGGTCCCCAGCTCCGGCCCCGCCCCTCTCTCGCCTGCGTCCTGGACCTGGGGGCGGGGACCAGCGAGGGCGTGCGGGGCAGGGATCCGGCGGATCCGCTTGCCCGGGCTCCGGAACCGCCGCTGGTGGCCTCTGGCCCTTGCGGACGGTGCGGCCACCAGGGAGGCGCGGATGGCAGCGCCGGGCTCCGGCCCCGCACTCGAAGGCGAGCAGAAGCCGAGGTGGCGGCACCCGAACCGGCCCGTCCCGCTGCTGGACTGGGGCTGAGGGCGCCGATGGGGGCCGCGCGGGCCGCGCTCTGCGGGGTTTAATTGAGTCCAGACGGGGCCCCTGCGGGGTACTGGGCTGCAGGTCGCCAGCTGGGTGGCATCTGACGCTATCAGATAAATCCGCCACTTTCCTGAGCCCACGGCAGACCCGGGGCCAGGAACTTGAGCCGTCGGTGCCTGGTCTAGGGTTCCGCGCCCCCATGCCTGCTGGCCTCGGCGTCCGCCTTCGCCTCGTGGCCCCCACCCCACGCCCCCTCGCTCCCGTGCGAGGCACCAGGAAGGTGGCCTCAGGGCCTTTGCACAAGATGTCCCCTTTACGCGGCAGGTTGCCCTCTGTGAACTCGTCCCGTATCCCCCAGCACGGCCCGTGCTTCTCCGTCCCCCCGCCCGCGGCCTGCGCCGCTGCCCCACCTCCCCCAGCTGCCCGCCGGGCAGACAGACCCTCGCTCCCCGGACCCCACCGGCTGAGCTTGCGCTGCCGGCTCCAAAGAACCGAGCCGGCTCGGAGCAGGCCACGCAGTCGCCGCCAGGCGGCACCAGGCGGCACCGGTCCCCCCGCTGCAGTCCCAGGCCCCCTGGATGCCGGCGCTGTCCCGCAGTCCCCGGGCCCGCAGGACACGGCTCTGTCCCGCCCGCGGCCGCAGCGCCACCTGAGACCCAGCCCAGCCCAGAGCAGAGACTTCCGTGAGCTCCTAAATCCTTAGGGCGCTAAACTGGAGAAACCCAAGCACAGCTAACGCCATCTCCCGCCCAGTGCTTTTTGGGGGCGTTTGGAGGGGCTTCCTGACCGCCCGAAGTAGAGGGTGGGTGGCGTTCTGACCCCCCAGTGTAGGAGCTTGCATGAAAGGCACCCCGCCCCCCGCCTGCGTGGGAGGGCACGCCCCGCCCACCCGCGCCCACCGGGGTCTCTCATCACCTCTCGACTCATTGCCCGCCACCCTCCTGAGATGGACTGGAGTCCCCGGGTGCTTTCAATTCGCTTCTAGGGCTGTTTCCTCACTCTCCTGATTTGCTTAATTTCCTCCTGGCCTGGCATGATTTCTTTCAGATCCGGGCATATGCTAATTTACATAGCTGGCATCTCCATATTTTCTTCTATGCAAACCATTTTTCAATTAGCAAGTTTCTCTCTCTCTTTGATGCAAAAGTGCTGACAACATTTTTTTTTCTCACCTAAAATCAGAAAGCTCTGCAGATGCGAAGGCTGTTACTATTCACCGAAGCCCTTAATCCATGTGCATGCAGTTGTGCGTGCACACGTGTTGTGTATGTGTTGAGATGTTGGTGGTCACAGCCCGGCTGAGGCGTCCGGGCAGACATCTCTAGGCAGGCTAGCGTGGGCCCAGTTCCTGGTCCTGTTCAGTGTTTTATTTGTCCCTTCTTCATTGTTTGGAGGGAGGACGGAGGCCACTAGAGGTGGCGCCAGGCTGGCAGGCTGCTCTCCGCCCCGGGCAAAGCTTCCCCTGCGTGGGCCCTGTGCCCCGGGGAGGGTGGAGTCAGCCACGCTCTGTGGGTGCTTCACATTTCATTCGGGGGCGTCCCACCCCCTTCCCATACAGCATTGTCCCTGGAGTGGCTCTGCCAAAGTCAGCTTTGGCCAACCAATAGTGTTCCGTCCTGGCCTAGCGTCCTACGCTCACGATGCCTTCGGTGACTGCATCATTCTGAACAAAAGCCAGAAAACCACAAGGAAGTCTACGCGAAGAACTTCAAAGTAGCCCAAACTCCTATGCTGTGTCCTGCCACAGGCGTGCCTGTGTTCACGTGTTGCGGTGCTTTGAACCCTTTTTGTGTACCGTGTGGTGTGCTCGAGTCTGGGAAACAGCCCTGGTGACACAGTGGCAATTAGCAAGTGCCACTAATTAGTGGCTATGACTCGGACCCAGGAGACGGGCTCACGCCCCCACTTCTGGCTCCTGTTTCAGTAATTCATCTCAGGTTTGCCCCTCGCCTCCCCCCACTCTGCCAGGCACCACCCTACAGCCCATGGACGGGAGAAGCCCCCACGGACACCCTCTGCCAGTGGGCATCTCAGAGGACTCCGTGAACCAGTGCCGTGAAGGTCATAGAACATCATGATAACGGTTGAAAAGCAAAGGCACAGAAGGCGTGAAGAAGACAGGGGAGATTGCCAGCTGTCACTCAAAGAAGCAGGACGCCGCCACCTTCTCCCTGGGGATCAGAAACCGGGGAACGCCCATCTGAGCCCAGGCTCCAGCCAGGGAGATGCCTGCTGCTGGTGGCACATCTGCTAGCCCGTCAGCGCCCCCAGAGGTCAGCCTGGGCAGGGCAGGTGGCTGGCACCCGGGAAATCTCCCTGCAAAAATCAGTGAGAAATTTGCTTTGTAAAGTGTTTTGTATACATTCTAGTCTCCAGCTCTTCTAACAGACAACGACCTTAAGTCTGTCCATATTATTCAGACAAAACCAGCAGAAATTTCCTGCTAAGGTGAGACAGAATGTCACCTAAGCAAGAGAAGAGCCACAGCAGGAGAAAAGGTGAATTATCTGCATATGCTAATGATTCTGA